GAGTTTAACTAGTAGATATTAATCTCACATACTCTTTCAATAGTGAAAGAGTATTAGACCCTTGAAGGACAAAATGAATATGACTTTGGGGGCTTAGCATGATGTTTTTAGATGTAATGAAATTCTTTTGCAGTTACAGCACAACTGAAATAATAAAGTGAAACCTTTCCAGTAAAATGTTTTGCACAGTTCAGAGTGTGCATATTATTGGAATGTTTGAAACCATATTTGTCTCAGCCAATGAAATTTTTTATCTTTAGCTCTGTCATATTTTTAACCTCAAAGATTTCAAAGATTATCTACAGGATTTATGATTTGTAAAGTCAGACAAATACAACAATCTACAGAAACAATAAGCCTTGTTGCCATGACACAGTTCTGTCAAACGAAGGCGGAGAGTGTGGGAGTGTTCTGGTTTTTCTGGTTGATTTGTGGGTGTTAACAATTTTACAAAATTACACATGTACTCTGACCTAAAAGAACAGGGCTGACAGAAGAACTGTCAAACTGGAGTGACTGGAGTGAGCAGTGTCTTGCGTGTAAGCCCTGTCTGCCTTGGCTGGTTGCAATGGAAATTGTCATTGTTTCTTTATTGTCTGTGGTAACAGGGGAAGGCTTATTGTTGACGCAAACATACAGTCAGTGGCAATACAGGAGAAGACGCGCAGTTTCCAGAGCTACACTGTATGTTTAAAACACTGTAAACACCTGCTCAGCCAACATTTCTTCTGAAAATGAAGGATGTTAGTAGAAAGTTTGTCCCCACTTTGCTACAGCAACAGCCTCTACTCTTCTGGTAAGGCTTTACACTAGATGTTGCTTTATCACTCCAGGGAATGTAGTTCCACTGTTCCACAGACCAATGCTGGCAGTTTTTATACCCCTCTAGCCTACACTTGGCATTGGGCATGGTGACCTTAGCCCCCTGTGCGTCCAATTCTATTGGCAATGCTTTTCAGTGGAGATTATACAAGCTGTATGCACAATTGAACACCTGTGTCAGCAATGGATGCTCCTTAAAGTAGCTAAATTCACTAATAAGAAGAGGGACATTTACAAACACTTTCAGACATATACTGTATTTAAATTTTTTTGGAATATTTTGGTCCTTGTCTCCTTCACTCTTGGTCCCAGACCAGGGTAGGTAAAAGGTCGGCTGGCCCCGAGCCACTCCACTCCTCCGAAGCCCAGCAGTACCTGGGGATGAGCAGTACAAACCTAAACGAAGGGGAGATTTTTTGGGTAGGTTGCTTAGCAACGGGTATGTACTATATGAGTCCCTGCAGTTTCCTCCAGTGTGTGTTTTGCCCGTCTCAGCAAGGCAGCCTTGAATCCTCTACCACAGCACAGCCAGAACCTTAGAAAACAAATTAGTCAGTAATACCTAAGGTGCAGTGGCGTCAGTGACATTTCCAGCACTTTGTGTAGGAGGAGGGCTCATAGCTGGCTTGAGATCAGGTCTGCTGGAAGACTTTAGCAGGACCTAAACTACCCACCACCGAACTGCAAGCATAAAGGAATGATTCAGTTTTCCCCTTAGCCCATATGAAGTTGAGCTGACAAACATGTGGTGTCTTAAGTTTACTTCTTTAGTTTTGTAGTGCAGTGGTTCTTAAACAAGTCCTCAGGGACCCTCTAGATGGTCCAGATTTTTGCTCCAACCTAAAATGCAACACATAGGGACAGAGCAAAATTTGGACCATCTGGGGAAGCTATACAGCTAATACAATAAAAAGATTCGGGTGAAATAGACTTCCAATACTTGTTGGCTACATTTGCCTCTTAGCTCCAGTGCAAAACATCAGACATCAAATATGTCTTGGCCAATGTTTGGGCTAAAGAAAGCATTGTGTTGATCTGATTTTTGGTTAAGAATGTCTTGAAATCAGTTACAATTACTTCACCCCATCCTTTAAGCAAAGAGTAGACTGTATAGGTTGCTACCATGAGTCATGAACAAGTCTCTTTGACAAAAGCTTAAACGACAGCATTTCAGCATTTTTAAATGACACACAAGCAAACAAAAAAAAAGGAAAAAGAGACTGACAGACAGATGCAGCATTGCTCATGTCAGCTGTGACTTTGTTTTGACCCCTTCTGAGATGGCTTTACTGAACTCGGTACAGACAGCTCAAATATCTGCGCGACTTTGCATAAATTTCCGCTGCGGTTTTGTTTACCCAGAGCTTCCTCAGGGAACGCCCCCGCAGCAAGTGATAGGGCTAATAAAGTTGACTGACAACTGTGACAGCACAAGAGTGATGTCTTTACTGAGACGGCTGAGCTAAATTTGGAGACCATAATGCTGAATAATGAGTGACATGACCCAGGTACTCCAGGAACTAGACTAATTACAATATATATTCAAAAGTATTCCAGACAGCCCATCTAATTAGAAACCTAGCTACTTTAAAGTGCACTGACTCCTAACACAGGCATTCAGTTGCACACATAAGTTGAATGATCTCCACAGGAAAGCAGTGACAATAGAATGGGACACTCTGGAGCAGCTACACATGAGCCTTAGGTCACCATGCCCAATGAAAGTGTCAGGTAGAGAGGTATATAAACCCCCCAGCACTGAGCTGTGAGCAACTGTGTTCTCTGGAGTGATGGAGCTCCAACCAACACCTTTGGGATTGAGTTGGAATGGCGTTTGTGATCTAGAACTAATCATCCAGCATCAGTATCCAACCTCAGTAATGCTCTTGTGGATACAATCAAATCCTCACAGCAATCTAGTGCAAATCCTAACCAGAAATGTAGTTACTGTAGCAAACTCCCTATTTATATCATTGATTTCAGAAGAATGAAAGGTGTCTACAAACTTTTGGACATACAGTATAGCTTTCTCATTAATAAGCCAGGACAATGCCCCTGTATGCTGTCATGACACCAGCTGATCAGATCGTTATGCAAGCCCGTTTTTGTCATAATTAGAGTTAACCATGGTTTCAGTGACGTGGGTCACTTGAGAGGTTCTTATTGGTGCAGTCTCACTCCACCTTGGTCCCACGGGACAGCGAGGGACACTGTATGCGCAGTATGATTGTCCGATATGAGCTCAAGGTCCAGAAACGTGCATTGATTCAATGAAGCGAGTGTTTGATAGCATCTATGGGAGTTTGATCAATACTGGTTTATGCAGGAGTGACCTCATTAATTCGACAACTTTGCAGGCTAAAACAATACATGCTGTGGGCTGAAATTATATTTTGCAGTAAATAAAAGACCCACATGCAAAACATTTTTCTTTGTAGAGATGTGACTATATTCACATTTTTTGCTATGCTCCAGCTTCTAAAATACCCGAAGCAGGCAATTAGCATTCTACAGTCCTTCATGTCTTCCTTTTGGGTATATTGAGACCTGAGACAAAACAAAAATGTAGATTGGTTGGGGGTCCTGACGACATGTCACGTGTACACATTGGCATGCTGAAAACAAACCCATGCGGTGGAGTGAGTGAACGTTCAGGCAAATGTAAAGCACACTGAAATCTTTCCCTGCAGCAGATGAGGAGGAAACAAGAGTGAGAGAGAGGAAAAAATCAACTTCCACTCTTGCTTTAGATCTGAAAAAATCCACAGGTGTTTCTGTCCATCCTTTCACTGTGAGAAGACAAGTCAACACTATCTGTCTGAAAGGATGTGTAGCTGTCAAGACTCCATCCCTACTGAAAAAAGGGAGCTGGTTTTTGCTGGTTTGGTGCTGGTTTAGCTGGTCACCCAGCATGGACATGCTGGCTGACCAGCATACTAGCATCCAAAACATTACGTACGTGGTTTCACTAGTGACCAGCCATGCTGGACTATGCTGAGAAAAAGAAAAAGACAATAAAAGAAGAAATCTAGCATCGGAAACACATTGAAACCTAGCACCTGAGAGGAGTGGAGTAGGGTTTTAAGGTATACCTAAAATGTAATCGTGTTAACTTGGATCAGGAGAGGCAGAAAATGCAACCGACTTGTGAGACTGGACTTGTGTTACAGGAATAACAGTACCGCAACAAAAAGGTAGATTGGTTGGAAGACCTGAGGACTGACTGGGGTATCTATGCAATACAGCACACATTGTCATGCTGAAAACAGACCCATGTGGTGGTGTGAGTGAATGTTCAGGCAGATGTAAAAAGAGCTCGAATCTTTCCCTGCAGCAGATGGTGAGTAAACAGGATAATTGATTCAGCCTGCCTATGAAATACTCAACAGGCAGAACAACCTGTTCTGGACACATTTCCTTAAACATACAATATTACATCCTTGGCTTCTGCTCTGTTTACTAAGCTGAAAGTGACGGGTACTCATAGAGAGTAACCTTTTACACAGTAATTGCATGACTGGTAACAGAGATCATGAAAACTTGACATGCAGGACGCAGCTATTATGCAGAATTCGAAGGATCTGATGTGGTTTGACCTCCCTAGAAAAGGATCTAAATGTTGCGGTACTACTATTCCTGAAAAAGAAAGATGATGCAACAACCATACAAGAGCCAAAGTAAACTCTTTTGCAGGCGTCGACACTGTTCTTTGGCCCTGGGATTTAGTGAGGTGAAATGTAAACAAGCCCAAAGTCCAGGCTTTCACAACAGGATCCACTGATCAGCATATTGAGAAACTTCTTGGGAAAACAATGAATTCACATTAGGCATCATCCTTTCAGGCTAACATGTCCTAGTAGATATAATTGTGTTAACAGCAATGAAACACTCTGTGCTCTCTCTGGAAATACATAGATAAATAGAGTCATATTCGTATCCATATTTAGCCTGTGCAGTTGAGCCCAGGCCTGTCTGAACACACACAGTGCAGGGTGAGTGAGTGCGTTTCCCACACGGGGAGAGCGAGAGCGTGTCAGAACCATGAGGATTGGCAATAATTCCCCTCTGTCTTTTTCACTATGGTGACAGGCACTAAGTCTAAATGGCTTTATTACATGCAGGTCCAGAAGCAGCCTACACAGTTCTGCCCACCACCGAAGAGGCATACAAACATGTTCTAAAGTGACCCTGAAATGCAGTCTGTTTATTACAAGAGCTCAGAGAGTATTTTCTGAATGTAATATGTACGCTTTGCACTTTATGAAAGCCTCGCTTTTGCAGCTGGGAGTTTCTCTACTCGGAGACAGCGGAGATCTAAGTTATTAGCACTGGAAATGAAAGCAGCATTTTATGTCAGATTTATATTTGTTGTTACAGAACTAAAAAAATGACAAAATTCTTACACATGCATCACCAGTTGAACAAAAATGACATAATAAAATACATATTAAGATCAAGACTTCACAATAATCTGAAATAAATACTGGCCCACTGTCTGAGACCCACTGTAAAGGTTCAGAGTTGGTAAAATAGAACATTATATTTGTTTCCTCAGGCAAAACAATTGAGAACTTCTCTGGCAACTTCTGCAGGCATACAGTACTGTGTGCAAAAGTCAAAGACCACATGTTCTTTTACTTAATGTTAAGTCAAAACAAGCATAATGTGCAAGTTATTGATTTTTGTGTGTTAGAAAGAAGCAGTACACATACTTTGAACAGAAAATTACACAAAGTACAAAATCAAATCTATCAGTATTTAATTTGTCCACTCTTCACTTTTGACCTCTGTTGCCACTTTAACTCTTCTATCCTTCCAATCTTAAAACCAACATACTATATCCTCCCAATAAAAGCTGTTCCCAAAGCTCCTACTGACATTATGTTCCCTAACATTCGTTCACTAACATTCACACAAGCAACTACCCAAAGACACCTTAACTGCCCAAATGTCTTACTGATGTGCATCTAAAATGCTTAAAGGATATTTTTCTGAGGAGATGAGATATAAATTAATCCATATTACAAGATACAGAGAAAATTGGACTCTTAACAACCCTGCAAAACCTGGCAGACCAAAAAACTGTCACCAAAACTTTAAAGCTTTCATATTTGAGAGAGAGGAGAAAATCAAGCTCCACTCTTGCTTCAGATCTGAAAAAATATACAGATGTTTCTGTCCATCCTTCCACTGTGAGAAGACAACTCATATGAGTCTGGAAGGATGTGTAGCTGTCAAGAAGCCCTTACTGAAAAAAAAAAACAGCACAGAGCTGTTTTATGCTGGTTTGTGCTGGTCTTGTGCTGGTTTAGCTGGTCAAGCTGGACTATGCTGAGAAAAAGAAAAAAAGAAGAAAGCTAGCATCTGAAACACACTGAAACCTGAGATGGAGTGGAGTAGGGTTTTAGGGTTTACCAATGAGTATAAATTTGTTTTTGGGATTATTTGGATCAGGAGAAGCAGAAATTGCAACCAACTTCTAAGACTTCCATTACAGGAATAATAGTGCTGCAACAAAACATAGATCGGTTGGGAGTCCTGAGGACTGGCTGGAGCCTCTATGCAATACAGCACACATTGTCATGCTGACAAAACAAATCTATGCGGTGGAGTGAGTGAATGTTCAGGCAGATGTAAAGAGAGCTCGAATCTTTCCCTGCAGCAGATGAGGAGGAAACAGGATAATTGATTCAGCCTGCCTATGAAATACTCAACAGGCAGAACAACCTGTTCTGGACACATTTCCTTAAACATACAATATTACATCTTTGGCTTCTGCTCTGTTTACTAAGCTGAAAGTGACAGGTACTTATAGAGAGTCTACAGGAAAAAAGTGAAAAAACAGGAAATTCCAAAACTGGAGTTCAAAAAATTATTAAAAGATACAGAGAAAATGGAACCCCTAACAACCCTGCCAGACCTGGCAGACCAATAAAATCTGTCACCATCAGATAAACAGCATTTAAAGCTTTCATTTCCAATAGACAGTAGAAAATCAAGCTCCACTCTTGCTTCAGACCTAAAAAAAATCAACAGGTGTTTATGTCCATCCTTCCACTGTGAGAACGCAACTCAATGCTATCAGTCTGAAAGGATGTGTAGCTATCAAGAAGCCCTCACTGAGAAAAGGAAACGGACAAAAAGATGACAATTTGATCTGGAAATTAGAAACTGGACATCTGAGGTGTGAAATAAGGTTTCATGCATGGATAAGTCTCAATATTTAACTGAGATTGAGACGCAGAAAATGCAACTAACTTCTAATAGTGAACAATATCCCTGCAGATTTCTTTGAAAAAGTGAAAGCAAGTTTCTTAAAAAGAGTAGAAGCTGTAAAAGGACTGACACATTACATTTTTTTAAATATTGTAAAAAATGATATTATGTTTAGTTTTAAAGCTTTTCTTTGAAATATACACTCTTAAAAAAGAAGGTTCTTCTAGGGTCCTTAGTAAAGACAATGGTTCTATATAGAACCATGAAGACTCAAAGAACCATTTGCCTGCTGAAAAGGTTCATTACATTGATGTAGAATGTGTTGTATATGGTTCTACTTAGAACCTTTTTGAAAATGGTTCTATATATAGCAAATATACCAAATAGGCTATATATCAAAAAGGGTTCTTCTGTTGTTATAAGCTTGATGTCACACCAGTAGCAGCACCTTTTTAGTGCTTTATAAAACCACTGTCTTTACTAAACAACCCTTGAAGAATCATCTTTTTATTAGGAGTGTGTGTTTCCTGCTTTTCTTCCAGAAACTTAAAAATAGCTTGTACTTAATGGCCATGTGGAAATGAAATTAAATACATGAAAGGTGGTCTCTTACTTTTGCACAGTACTGTATATATCAGCTCATCAACTCTTTATACAATTACTCAAAGAAAATCTGGTGCATTGTGTTGGTACGTTTTAGCAAAGTCCGCTGTGAAAAAACAAAAAAACAACACACAACTTCTCTCAGAGATGAGGTGAGGTGAAACTGGCTTGTTGGCCTTTCACTTCAAATGGCACGTGAGTTGCAACAACCTGCTCTTTTCAGACCTGTAGCACAAACAATAAAATAAGACAAAGGTCGTTTTACTGATACGCACAGAAGCACAGAATAATGCAGCCCACAAAGCCAAGCCTGTAACATGATGCTAGACTGAACATTCTGCACTCAGTCAGAAAGATCTGACTAGCTTCTGAATCATTAACACAGCTTTTAATCTGACACCCCTTTAACTAAAAAAGGTGCACCACTCCTAAATGTATGTAGAGGTACAATGAGGCTAATGGGCCTAATGACCCTCTTCCCAACCATTCACATTCAACCGCTAGCCTCTCCCTTCACTCACATGTCAGTTTCTTCAATCTCGCCTTTGAATTAAGACCACATTCAGGATCTTTCTGAGCCCCAGACCTGTTCTGGCACGTTTGATGCAATCTCACTCTTGTTTCTCACTAGAAGGCTGGACCTGAGGGATGGAAAGCTTGCAGGCAGAGGCTGGAAAGAGGCACACGTGCTGCCTGACAACAAGCAGCTCAGGGGTCTTAATGGCCCTCAGAGGCAGCAGAGAGGTCAGATGTGCATGCAGAATTCTGCCCATCTCATTAAAACATTGGTGTGAGGTGTGTGTGTGCAGAAATAAGAGAAATTTGTCAAATAAAACAGATGAGAAAGGAGGAGTGGAGGGTGAGAGAGAGTGAACAGACAAAGCGGGAGATGGTAAATAAATAAAGGAGAGAGGAAGAAAAGAGAACATGCACTCTTAAAAATAAAGGTGAAGAGTTCTTTGCAGCAATACTGTAGAACAATCACTTTTGGTTTCCTTAAGAAGCTTTGAGTGGATAGTGATGGTTTACATGAGATGGTTTAAATAAACCACTAGTTTAAAGAACCTCATGTCATTTTTCCTAGTAATTAACTCATCTTAAGATATTTTCCATCATAACACAGCAAATTACTGTGAGGTTGTTGTTAAACTGTACTGCACAGCATTATTGGATAGCAACTAAACATTTTAATATTCGAAGAACATTTTAAGTGTTTTAATAACAACAATTCAAGTTGGTGTTCTAAAGATTTTTAAAGTTTGCGGCTTTTTTCATGATTGTTTAAATGCTGAAACACTGAGAGTTCACAAAAAATTGCATTGTTTACTGATATTGTCAAATTTGGTTATGTTTGCGCAAATTAAAAGCATTCCATAAACAAATTATAAGTTTAATATATGAACTGCAAAACATTGTGAATAAATATATTGATTGATATTGTTTTTTAAATTAAGCATATCTTTTACTTTTAATTGAAATTTTCAAAAAAACATCAACACATTAATAGGTCTGGTAAAATTAAAAGCCATTTTTCAGATGTGAATTTATAATAAATTACTCACTACTGTGTTGCATCACTTTATAGATGTTATGTAAAAATATAGGATATTACTGTATTATAATTACAGCTTATTACTGTAAGTATACCGCAGAATGCAGCTATATTATAGTAATCGTGTGAATATACAGTTTTATATTTTACTGTTATTACTGTGAAAGTAATGCTTAACTACTAGCAATAGAAAGTAATGAGAAAGCATTACTAGAAAGTAAACGCTAACCAGTAAATTACTGTAATTTTAGAGTGAATCGTGTTTACAGTGTACATCCAAGCCAAGCATCGTTTAGGAATCTTTATTTTTTAAGAGTGTAGCGTGAGGAGAAAGAAAGAGAGACACAGAGACAGATGGTGGGAAACAGAGTAAGAAAGCTAGAGATAGAAAGAGAGACAGAGAGAGAGAGAGAGAGAGAGAGAGAGAGAGAGAGAGAGAGCGAGAGAGAGAGATGAGAAAGAGCTGATCTAAATATCAGCATAGCTCATCTCAGCTGTGTCCTGAACCTGCTTTCTGTTCAGCTCCACTTCACTTTACATTGAGATTTCAACAGACAAAGCCAAGCTGCTCTCTTCTCCTTGACAATACTGGGAGATAGGCCAGTAAAGTCCTGAGATAGTCCAAGCTGAGCTTCATCCAGGAACAACAATTACACAATAAGTGAAATTGACTTACTGGAACTCATGAGTTCAATTAACCACCAATACCAAAGAAGAACAACATTCATTTGCTCTAAACACATTACGGTAAGATTATTTATGTCTTACCACTTCGATTACCAGCAGTTCCAGGCTGTATAAGCCCAATTTGTCACTGGTGCTCTATTTCTCTGATTCTTCCTAAGACGAAAATACCTAGATGTAAGAGGTGGGCGTAATTGCCTGTGTCAAGAGGATAATCTCAGAGGGGCAACATCAGCTTACCACTGCTCCTCTGAAGTCATGAACTGGCAGCCTGGAATTTCTGGGGCTCCAATGAAGTCAGCAGGGAACTGTGTCTGTTTCTATGAACACTGATTCAGCCATAAGCTAACCACACAAGACACAGACCGGGTCTGAATTGCTGAAAGGGTCACACTTTACTTTGTGTTTCAATTGCTTTACTGTGGAATGGATGTCACTGTAAACAAATTAATGTGGTGGTTCATAGTTAAAAATGTTCGTTGTAGTGGTTAGTAAAGAACTTTTGACTATGGTCTTCGGTCCACTGATGGTGTTGATTGGTGAAAGATCCAGAACCAGGACTTCCATTCTGATCCATAACATTCCCAATGTCTTTCGGAACCAGCACATTTTCTGGTAAATGCTCATTGCTACTAAAGTGCATCCCAGTAGTTAATACTGTCATCCTCACATTTTCTTAAACATTAGCCATAAAAGCTGGACTCACACAATATTAGTCTCTTTCAGTGTTCACTGCTACATTAAGTGCAGTGCATTTGTTAGTTTGGGTTATTGACAGGTCACTGGTGTGATCAGTGTTGACATAAATAACAGAACATCACAACAAAAGCAATATGACATTGAATGCACTTCAGCAGTATTGCTCAAAAGCAGCCATGTCTAGAACAAATGTTTATCTGGAAATATACAGACTTCAGCTAGTGGTTCTTTTAACTGAAAAGAAGAAATACTCCACAAGGCTGTGTCCTGCTGCCTAGGCCTTCGGCTTTGTATTTCACACAGTGGTCTCACCACACAGACCACTCTGTTGAAGTAGATGCAAAAGCTTCTGTTGCTCTGATCTCATCATGCCTAGTTTGCCTCACCCGGTGGAACACATTGATATCGTCCCAGATGTGTCCAAAGTTCTTTCGAGGTAGATTATCCATTGTGTGAGTTATGACTCGCAACTTTTGTTCTATTCATGTTTTTCAAGTTCAGTGAGTATTGTTCGCTTCACAACAATAGACCAGTTTTGAAAATGCCATTGGGCAGGAATATAGGACACTTGTCTTATCGTTCAAAAACGTTTAAGAGCTTCATCAATCAACCTCTTTTCCATTTCAGTTAGATTTTAGATGAATCAAACTGCCCTCTTGCATTTCTGCAGACACTTGCAGTAAAACCACCCGACCACAGGGGGAGTTCTAATGTTTTGGAAGCTATTATACTGAGCTCTCATCCGGTTTGTTACACAGCTGCGTGTGCTTCCTCTTCTCCAGGATGCGGTTGAGCTCTTCAGTGAAAGAGTAGTATAGAGGAGACGTGGTGTCTCCATCACTTTGCCTAAGCAACACATAGCTATTGCCGTTCATTTTGCGTAAGACGCTGGGCAGGGTGGCTGACAGGCCATTCGTGTATTCCGACTCCGAGTTTGGCGGAGGTGGAGGCAGCGGGGGTGCAGGCGGCAAGTCTTTATTGGGAGATGCCCGTGCTTCTCCAGGAACAATCTGCAGTAGGCCATCATGTGTGTCCACATTACCATTACAGTGGCTGGAAATGGTCTTCAGCTCCATGTGGCCACTCCTCTTCCTTTCAGCTTGGGCTGCGGCCCGGAGAGAGTATTTCCCCCTTCTGGTCTGCACACAGAAACCAACATACAGCAGGACTACGGTCAAGACCAGGCACAGCCCACCCAGGATGGTGATCAGGGAAAGGTACATGGCCTCCATGTTCCTTAAGGACAGGAACTCTAGCTGTGGAGGATGGGGCGCAGGAGCCGGGTGCAGGGTCAGGTTGCTTCTGTTGGATGTTTGCGCAGTGCGATGGATGGTACCACTCTGGTGAGGTGGGTGGGTCATATCTATGGGAGGTACAGGAGGCAGGTCATGACGGACAGTCAGAGTGTAGATCACCACAGGGACACGGACGCCGCTCTCCAAAGCGAAGCAGCTGTAGTCGCCGCTCTGGTCTGGCCGTGCCTCGATCACCAACAGGCCATCAGTGCCGATGCGGTAGCCGGAGTTGAGTCCGTATCCCTGCAGCTCCTGCCCATGCAGCGTCCACTGTGGGGTGGCCAAATTGGAGCTGAGCTCACACTGCAGCAGCACGTCATCCCCTGCCATCACTGAGCGAACGCGATGGAACACCAGGTCTGAAAATGAACAGACAAATCATTGGGGATCAGTGAGTATACTGCAGTCATGTGTTACAGCTTCACACCTGCTGATGTAGTTTCATTTTGAGTGACATGGAAAGGAAGATAGCAGCGCTCTGCTTGCTGTGAAGCGTGAAGTTTTCAGAGCAGAACAAGGGTTTTAAGAAAAAAATGTCAAAATTTCCACTGATTTCCAGTGCAGTTGTACTGTTACTTAAAGCTGCACTATGTACAATTTTTGCTTAAGAAGTATTACAGTATTATTGAGTGAGGAGAAAAAAAAAACACTAAAATGTGGTGTCTGTGCACAACTGCAAGTCACCCTACAAAGCCTGAAATAGTGAATTAAAAGTCAGATGCATCAGGTGGATTTTGCAGGAGTTTTTCTGGCCACTTCAAACACCTTTAGGTATTAACATCACATGCACAGCCTCAAAAAGAAGGTCCAACTCTATATTGAGGTCTCAAAATGCAAAATCAGCATTATACTGATGAAGATCTGATGACGATCGCAGATTATTCACTTCCATCCCAAGAAACCTTTTGCCAAGTTTTGGCAATGTTATCTTTTAATACTCCTTCAACATGCTTGCAGATTTCATGCGCTTGTGGAAAGGGTTCAGAGCACAACCAACATAAGATCCAGTGGTAATGGATGACCACGCAGCGCGTTATAGCCATCCTACCTGTTTTCTTTAGTGATTTTAGGTTTCGCCTGGCTAGTAGCGAACGAAAAAGGAAAAGAGAAAGACAGAAGAACATTTGGAGACGAACGGACTTATTCGCATTTATAAGAAACGTAGTTGGTTTCCTGATATGTTAAATCTGCAACGAGAGACTGTGAAACACTAAAAAGTTGCGAAGATGAAGTCGCTTCTCTTTCGAATTTTCCCGTTCCACCTTAAATGGTGCCGCATTTACCTTCGGCGCCTCAGTCAGAATTTAAGGTGGAACGGGAAAGTTTAGCAAGAAGCTGAAGAGTGAGAAACGACTTCAGCCTCGTAATACAGTCGAAAGCTGAGAGACATTTTACAAGAAACTATTCAACTTTTCAGGAAAAGTTTTCTGGTGGAGATGGAAGAAAAGCGGCTATAGTTAAAGCTTAAAGCAGAGTAGAGTAAATCTGCGTTTTCGTTTATATTGTTTAGCCTATACTAGGACATTAACACATACTGAGACATACTGGACATTAAATGTTGCGGCTCCCAAGGTGGTTTGATTTTTGTTGAAAGGTCAAAATGGCTCTTCTTATCATTTGTGTTGTGACTCCTGATCTAACCTGGCTTTAATGCAGAGGGAGCCGGTCGGATTTCTCGCTCATCCAGTTGTGTTTTTGTTATTAGCCGCCACAGACTGTCCGGGCGCTGCACTTACCCACTACCAAGTTCGGCCCTTTGCGTCTGTCAACATTACGTTATAAATTAAATATTTAGAAAATCAATTTTTGACATTGAATGAATCGATTCAGAATCGTCCACGTCCGCATCGCGATGTATCTAAGAATCGATTTTTTCCCCCACCCCTAGTTCTGATGATACCCATAATCTTCTCAGAAAAGTGTATTATTTCGTATTACTCTCGTGTTCTATTGCATTTATACAACAGTTAAATAAATAAAGTAAGAAATAAATAAACTGGGCCGTGAACGTGGCCTTTAATATGTTTGCACATTCCTTCCGCCAAATTGTAGTTCCTTAACAAGCAGCTTGTTGCTATGTCGGAGTAATGAACTCCGCTCACTCGCAGCACAGCCGGCAGTTCATTCTCCAGCTCCTTACACCAAATTCCGAAACTGTCATTACCGCTAAGCAAGCTTTTCAGTCAGTAGCTGTGACAGAAGCGCACCTGACCAAATTGGACTGAGCCATAAAACTGCAACAATATCAAGTTTAGCTCAGTTTTGTCAACTTTTGCTAGATCAATATTAATGTTGTTTTGTTCCAGCCAGTCTGTAAAGCATCTTACAGCCCATTTTGTTTGGCGAATGGTATTCGGTTCATTTCTGGCTAATTCCAGGTTGTTTAGGTGTTCTTCTGTCACAGCTGCCAACTGAAAAGCTGCTCAGTGGTGATGACAGTTTGGGAATTTAGTGTCGTCTCATCTTCAGAGTCTGACTAAATCGGCTGTCGGTCAAATGTGATCTTAAAAGTATCCATTTTCTGTTTGTGGCAAAGTAAGAAGTAAAAACTTTCAAATGGCTTGAGCGTCTCCTACAGCTGTCAAAGTCGTTGCTTAGCAACGGTGTCTCGGCGGAGTGATAGTGTCTGTGAAAAAAACGTGCTGTTATGGCAAAATAACAGCACAGTTAGAACGCCTCTCAACCATACAAAGTTTGTTTCCTTGACAACAGCAACATTTTTTTAATACAGCTGTAGTTTGTTGTTTAACAAGTTTATACAAGATAGATTGAAGGTCAATCCTGTGGATCAATTCTCTTGGAAATACATTGAAAGGAAATTATAGGCCTCTGACACATAGACAATAAAACTTGCTTTACTTACTTACTTACTTAAAATAAATAGATAAACAAAACATGAACAAAATGCAAATGCATATGCAGAAGATAAACTGTGTAACAAGGTTTAAGCTCTGCCCTATTTAAAATGATGCACGGGTTATAAATGCAGCATTTAAGCAATGATTCTAATGACTGTTCCTCCTGTTATACAGCTCTGATCATTTTGGGTTCCGGTGCCTGATGAATACAAAGAGAAATGAGTATGCATACCATCTGCTGCAGAGTTCTCACAGCCCTCATTCCCATTCAGGATGTCTTGAGTCAGATTGAATCTGTACATATAAAGATAACACAATTAGTTCTGGTTGAATCCACTGCAGTCTTATGAGACAATACTGAATTTCAAATATCCTCTTCATTTTCAAAATAGCAGATGAACAGAAATAAAGAAATAATGTTGAAAGACACACACAGAACATTTCATAGCACTGCTGTGCAGCGAAGACATGGACCATGACCCCAGTAAAATACACATATGCGCTCATACCTGTCAGTGTGTGAGGTGATCTCCACACACTCCTCCCCGTCCCAAGCACAGAAAGGGTCCCGTGCTAATACACAGTCGAAACAGGAGGAGTACCTGTGACACGTAGACAGGGGCAGCTGCACGACTGCGGACTGCGAGCCCACGTACACGCTCATCTAGAGGTCAAATGTCAAAATGGACAACCAGACATTCACATGATTCATTTCATACTGACAACATACATATGGATATTTGTATATTAAATCACATTTCACATCTAAAAACACTGCTTCTCAAAGTCGAGCCTTTCCATGCTTAAATAAATCCATTTGCAGTGCAATGTAATATGACAGTAGATCTACAAGTCTTAGGCCAGTAGAGCTAGGCAATATGACAGTAGAGCTACAAGTCTTAGGCCAGTAGAGCTAGGCAATATGACAATATTTATTATTACTGTAATAAAAAATATGACAATATTTATTATTACTGTAATAAATTACATCATCCACAATAAATTACATCAAAATATCCCACAATATGCTTTTCTGAGTATATTGTGGATATTGTCATAACTTAAAAATAAATTCCCAACTGAATGTTTGATTAAAAAGGGGGCATAATTAGTCCTGTTTAATTAGATTTAGTGCAGTGCAGTCTGTGAAATGTTGAATACAAGTAAGTGGATGCATATTTTTTGATAGTATTTTTAAAATGTGGTACTACTTTGTCTATTCTAAATTATCTAATGTCAGAAAAAATATTGTGACACATCGTGTATTGTAAAAAGTATCACCTCTATAAGCCAGCCAAGAAATTTCTCTTCTCTGTGTCTCAAACACTATATATATATATATATATATATATATATATATATATATACATATCACAATGGTAATTTGGGTTTATTTTAATTTTAGTGTTTTTAAATATAATTATCTCAGATGGCTCAGGAATTTAAGACTCTACTGTAAGAAATGTAAGTATTTATCCACATATATCCACTCTTTATTTGCAACTCATTATATCTTGATGAATCCATTTGCTGACCTGTTTCTGGGAGATGACTATGCTGTCCACAGGCTGCGGCTCTTCAAACAGCTGCAGCTCTTCGATGATGTGGAGTTGACCTTTAACCTCCACTGCTCTCTGTAGCCAGCCCTCATCTGTAGCAAATAAACACCCAACAAAATCAATAATACTGAAAAACAACATACCACAATAATATGACTTTAAACTACACAACATCGCCCCATGCATCAGTAATGCAGTGTGATCAACATCTAATAGATCTGAACTGAAGGAGAAGTGAGAGACTAAACCACACCTGTTCCAATGAAGAGCATATGGTATGTCTGGCCATCCAGAGCAGTCACTCTGTGCACAGCGATCTTAGAGTAGTCCACAGACCTCCTAAACAGTAGGGGGCGTCCTCCCACAGGGAGGATCTGCTTGGCCATGAGAGGGTGGCGGCGGACAAAGTGCAGCACGTCATCTGGCAGGTCAGTGGAGAAGTTGATGCCTCTGGCCCTGAGCCGATCCGTGATGCACTGAGGAGTAAAGGGAGATAGACATGAGTCAAGCTGTGCAGAACACGTCTTTCACAACTCAGTGAAGGAGCCTACTGCAGAGTTGAGGGCCTCAGTCCAGCACAGCTTGGTGATTTTCCTGCTCGAACACACAGAATTCAACTCAACAGTTTTAGGGCTGTTTTAAAAAAGCAGGATTTCTCAGTTAGCTGGGTAATTGAAACAAAGTCAAACTGGTCCAATTCACGTACTCATGCACCACCCTCAGATGTGTCCTGAGGCAAATGTTGCAAGGCTGAACAAACTCTTCTGACTTTTCCCATTAAACCTAATGAGAAATTGTAGCAATCTTTGTCCAGATTTAATATGTTAGTTGAATTTTATGTATAAAATGCAACAGTGCCAAGCTGGACTATGTTGTAGTAGCTACACAAAATTAGACAGGGTGGATATGGCAACAGTAAATTTGCCACCATGCTAACATGCTAACTACGTCCAATCTATCCTAACAGTATGACCTTTGATGTTGATACCAGCTTATCAATATTGCTCATATAGTGATATTGATAAACATAGCACACTATGCTATGCCAATAACAATCATTGGGCTAGACTTGTAATGCTACTTTTGTCTACCTCTCTAACATGACTAAATTATAAGACCGTCTGGATTACAGCATCTGCCAAATGCCATAAATGTAAACGTAAATATATTCCTATTGGACAATCCACACTTTCGGACCAATAATGGACACCCCTGGCCTACTGCATTTCCTACCTGAAGACCAGGGGGAACTGCAGTTTGTCCTGCACCTGCCATCATTTGATTTCCACTAGTTTTCTTCCCATCTAGCCATGTCACAGTATCAAGGGAGACTATTTTAAGCTATTCTTAGTCTTCAGCTTAGCACAATTATATATAAATATGTAAATGAATAGGCTGTAATCAGTGGAAGTTTAGAAGCTTTAAGCACTGGAAAAAAGAGACAGCAGCTTCAATACAGCTGTCTTGGAAGTCTAAAACTTCTTTGAGCTATGAGGCAAATTATAACTCTCTATTCTTACCAATTCTGAGACAATCTAAACATCTACCGAATCTGAAACATGAAATGTCACAAGCCTGCAGAGGCGCTCATTAGAAATGTCAGGGCTTTAAAACCCAAACCACTTATCAGCCCAGCTTTTCTGCCTACTCCTAATCTCCATGGCAATGAGCTTTGAGGGTTTTTGGGGCGTGTGTTTCGGCTTGCTCCGCGGCTTCTTTTCTGAGTCTGATCCCAACACTCTACCCGCACTCTGATGCAGGGCGTTCAGTGCTTAGAAACCCAAGCAGTACTGCTGACATTAGGAGTCAGCCAGCAGGTCGAGTTGCAGGGCTGGATCAGGATAAGCAGGTCGGAGTAAGACGAGACTGCAGGGAAGGGTGCTGCTACCATAGATGCACCACAGAGTTTAGTAAGGGTGTTCCCAAATACACATACATTATTTAGAAAGACATAAATAACGGGTTCAAATATTTCCAGTGCTGTTTGTGTTCATTTGTTTTGTTTCCCTAACCTAAACTTGCTTTGCTCTTCCTCTGACTTCAGTTGTTTCTTCATGGGATGGGGCAAGATAACATCAGCTAGAGTAAGATAAATACACACGGAGGCACAGAATGACTCTTCAGAGACAGAGAATGATCAGTTTAAATGCACTTAGAGACTTTGCTTCACAGATATATCGCATCTGCGCATTTGTAGTACGTAGTACATACTTGTTGTGCTTTGCATAATGTCTACATTCAGTTCTGTTGTTTCTGAAATGTTATTTCTATTAATAATTTGTTATTAAAGAGGAGTGACTGCATAATTCAGTTGTTAAAATGTAAACAAAGCCATTCAGAGTGGTTTGATGTGAAAAGCAACATTCTAGAGAAACCTACAGTCAGGATAGTTCACAGTGGTAATGATGGGAACCAGCTGTCCGGAGCATTTAATGCCTACATATCAACTTGTAAGGCGAAACAGCCCCCAAAGAAACTTTCTTCTTTCAGATTTGCCACTATTTTATCATCATCAGTATTCTAACTTAGAAGACAAATGTAGGTTCACTGGTCATTTTGGATAGTAAATAAAATGGCTATATTTGTGTTGTAGACACTGCAACCCCTGGTCTTTATCACCAACACTAATACAAATCTGAATAAGTTTCTCTACAATTAACCATTTGACATGAAACAATAACTTTTTTAGATCTCAACAACTATAAAAAAGAAAAATGGTGGAATTCCACTTTATTAAACTTTCATTAGTTTTTTTAAAGTTCTGTCACATTCATTGTTACTCTATAATGTAATATGAATATGGCATGAATTCAAAGACGGTTTACTGCTGAGTTATGTGTTATTATTATTATTATTAGCTTGGAAGATGGTTATAATCAAGCCAAAACTAAATTGTAAATATACCAACTTCCAACCCCTTAAAGCTGTTATTAGTTTAAGCTGCACCCACTCAGCTACAAATACAAATTGTCACTGTTAAAAGAAAACCATCTCCAAAATATTCACTTTGCAGGAGAAGGCAAAAAGATTATTATCTTTTACTGTTAATATAAAAAGGGTTTATTCCAAATGATTCTGAAGTATTTCTACAATCAACATGAAATTTTTAAACAAAGTAAAGGACAGCTGCTGTGTTCAAATGATATAGAGAAATAAAACTCTACAAAAACATAGATTCTTATTTTTTTTTGGGGGGGGCAGCGATGAAACAGCAGTGTCTCTGATCACTCCAACAGCTTACCGAGCCGGGCCGTGGCTCAGGCACCTTCCCTGAGTACTCTGTCCATTTGGCACTGGTGTCCTCCTGACTCTCCATGTAGGGCCCGTCGAAGGCCTGCTGGATATCAGTGATGGAGTAGCGGCAGATGGCTGAAGCTTTGACGTTTTTCCTGTAAAATAATAAGAGTGCTTAATTCAACCTTCAAGCAGCAATACAGAATGTTCAGGTGCCTAATTCACTGCAGAGCTGGAGAAAAGCTCCAGCTAATGTGTGAATGAATGAGCACATTTGTCATTTTTTTAAAATGTTTCGGAGGAACAATACTGAGGGCTGGGGAAGGGAAAAAAAGTTGCGTTGTGGAAAGCAGTGAATCACTCCAGGTCTGATGGAGTTTTGCAGTGGGTGTGCTGGCTTTAGCAGCTGAAGAGCTCTCTCTCTCTCTCTCTGTCTCTCCCTCTCTGCCTCTCTCTTTTTCTCTCTTGCGCTCTGCCTCTGAGCCTCGGCTGATCTCTTTGTTTCTCAAGGTCTTGGCATGCCGGCACAGAGCCTCCATAAGCCCAGAGCGTAACCATGGCAACATGAAAATAGATTACAGATTTATCAAAAAGCGTGCAGGAGAGGTGAGGGAAGGTAGAAGGATGGGGGCGAGAGAGCGGGACAGAGACAAAGCTCATCAAGAGCAGCACTGCATTCATCTGACAAGTGGAAAGAAAGAGGGTAGACACAGAGAGAGACAAGGAGAACCGAGCATATATTAGCAGTGACTGAAGAAGAGTGGAGAGAGAGAGAGGGAACGACATGGGAGGGAAAAAAAGAGATGGAAACTGCTTTAAAGAGGAGGGGCAGATAATGAAAAAGTAATAAGAGACTGGGAGAGGGGAGGACTTTCATTTAAGAGCCTATGCTTGATTCTTTCTCACCAGAGCCTCAGGAACTGCACAAACAATGCACAGTCAATGGTCACACACACATATACGCTCTGGTCAAGTTCGTTAAAAGGAAAAAAACAAAAAAACAGTTCATTTTGACCTTGCAGGTCACCACAAACAGTTCTTCAGCGCTCATCTGACAGACTAATACTCTCCCTCTCTCTCCCTTTATCCTCCTTCATTCTACCACCTCTCCCTCGTTCTCTCTGAGTCAGCAGTCACCATGCTCTGCTTTGTCCATTCATCCATCTCTCGCTACCTCATAAGCTTGCACTTGTCATATCTCACCACAGCCTGCCAACTCATCAGAACAGCTCTTCTCCTGTCGACCTGACACGCAGAAACTGCCTCAGGGCAAATCGCAGTGTTGCTTTGTACACTTTAAGACCTGTTTGCTAAATTTTTAGCTTGGCACAACAAAGGTTATTGTTAAAGGAGGCCAGATGCCATTAGATACATTTAACCTTCCAGCTTACTTGCTGAAGTAAGAAATAGACACCAGTTTCTACACTACAGACGACACCTGAAGAACACAGTTTTAAAATGGTCCACTTATGCTGCTCATCATAATACTTACATTATTTGTACATAATTTTTACATTACTGCTTTCCAACCTCACTTTATCCCTTAGACTGCTTTTAAGACTAACATATGTAAATGACTGTTGTGACTGGCTGCCATGTATTGTGTCTCATTCAAAAAGCAGTCCATGCTGACTAACTTTAGTGTAAATGGGTGGGCTAAAGTGCTTTAAGCTGAATATGGAAATATACAGTGCTGCATAATCAGAGACCACCCTTCATTATTTAATTTCCAGTCCAATTAGCCATGAAGTACAAATAAGTGCAAGTTATTCACTTTTATGAGGACTAAGGAGATAATCCACTTGCATAAGGAAGAGAAAGGTCTAAGAAAAACAGGAGTTTCAAAAGCTGGTGTTCAAAAAAAAAATGAATAAAAGACAGAGAAAATGAGACTCCTAACAACAATGCAAGACCTGGTTGACCACCAAAAGTATTACCATCAGATAAACAGTACTTTCATCTTTGAGAAAAGGAGAAAATCAAGCTCCAGTCTTGCTTTAGATCTGAAAAAATCTGCAGGTGTTTCTGTCCATCCTTCCACTGTGAGAAGACAACTCAACACTATGAGCCTGAAAGGATGGGTAGCTGTGAAAAAGCCGTTACTGAGAAAAGGAAACAGACAAAAAAGAAAATCTGCAAATTAAACAAGAAACTGCTGGTGTTCTCAGAACAATGGCCTGACCAACCCAGAGTCCAGACCTTACCATCACTGAATGTGCTTAATATCGCTTGTGTCATGATATGCAGAAAATGTAACCAACTTCTAAGCCTGAACTTTGTAGTTGTGGAAAAATATCCCTGTAGGTTTCTTTAAAAATCTGAATGCAAGTCTTCTGAGAAAAAGGCAGCTGTAATAAAGGCAAAGTGTGAGCACACTAATACTAAATTCTGATATTATACATACAGAGACTTCAGCGTAATTTTCTGTCAAATGTATGTTTTCCGCTTCTTTCTGGACACTGCAAAATGAATGAATGACTGGATTGGAAATTAAATAAATGTGGTTTTTGATTTTTCCACAGTACTTTATGTAAATGTTCTCTGTTCTGATTGGCTGCCTTGTATTGTGTCTCAATCAAAAACAAGTTGAGGCTAAAACACTCCTTATATCTTCAGTGTGAATGGGTGATCTGAACTGCTGTAGGCAGAATAGGCAGATACATGTAATTTGTAATATGTATTAGATTTTGTGACATCACAAAAAAACCCAAAATAGGCTGTTTTTTTATCCATATATGGACTTTAATGACTAAGAAGTGAACGGTATATTTTGAAACTTTAACAATACATCATGCACTTTTCCTTTAAAAGAAAGGAGAATTTGGCTTTCCATGAAATGAGCCCTTTAAGGTTTGCGCAATAATATTTGTAGAGAAGCAGAGCCAGGATTTTCAGGGCTTTTCCCTGGCACATCTTTACATCAGCTCGGCAAAGCCGACCTGCTTATGAATAAAAGATAACGCGCACTCCAGGCAGCCAGAAAACATGTCAGCCATTTTCCCCAGGATTGTACTGGTGGAGTGAGCTTCAGCCTGGGCTGTGGCGGCCGGTTCAGGCACGCCGGACCTGAGGAGCGTGTCCAAACGGACAGCTGAGCTCACTAACAGACTGGCACCTCACCACATCCATCCCGATGCTATTGAGCGAAGGGGCACATCGGAGTCAGCCACACGCCACCCCCACTCAAACTCAGGATCAGAAAGGCTGGAGCCTTCTTGTACAACTGCCAGAATACATTACATATGAGGAGCTCGCCTCCATCTCAGCTGCCCGCTCAATTCAATCAAGAGTTCAGATTGAAAAAGCTGGGCTGTTTCTTAGATGTAGCTCTTGTTTTCATGAAACGCAATCATGCCTCTACTAAAGCAACAATGAGTGGGCACAAGGCCTGATTTTCATTGCACTATATGAATATTCACAAGTAGGGCATCAATGCTTAGGCATAGTTGATCATCAAAATTATGGACACAGAAAATAATTACTAATGTGAGTTTTTTTAATTTAATAATTAACTCTTAGTTCATTTAAGAAAGATACACATCCCAAAAGTGTAATTAGTTTTTTAAAGCTGCACTATGAACATTTTTGGAATTTGTAAATCTCTCTGGTGGAAATATGTAATTGCAGGCAATGTGGGGAAGAACATTTTGTAATGTGGGTTGTGCTTTGGACCTCTTCCCCAAGCGGATGAATCTGATGACTACAAACGCGTTGAAAGAGTATCCAAAGAGAATTCGGTCAAAACTTGGTGAAGGATGTGTCTCCAGAGGATGAAAGTGAGAATTTACTATTGTCACAATATCTTCATCAATATAATGTTAAATTTGCATTTGAGACATAAACATCTTTTTCAGCCTGTGTGGGAGGTTAAAACATAAAGATGTATGAGGTGGTCCAAAAAACTCCTGCAAAATCTGACTTGAGACAAATTATTATTTCAGGCTTTAGAGGCCGACTCACAGCAGCGCAGGCACACCATATTATAGTGTGTTGTTTTCTACTGACTCAGTAATGCTACTTCTTTCATTTAAAAAAAAATCGTACATAGCGCAGCTCTAAATGCTTATTAAATATTTAATTAATAATTCATTCATGAAATGGCTTCTGCAAGAGGACTGCCAGAATCAGATACTGAGCAACAAGCAGGTCTGCACTCAAACCATCAGGAAGATACATCAACATTTTAGTAGCAGTGTCTGTTCTTTTTAAAATTCTTTTTTTCTCCAAAATTCAGACTATAGACTTAATGCAGAGAGAAAAACTATATTTAAAAACTCACTAAACAATAAACAATTTGAGCCTTATTAAAAATGGCAAACACAACAAACACCCAAACTGCAATTATCTGCCACTAGCTATGTGTGCATTTGGTAGTACTATTCATTGGTTAGTGATAGTTTATTAGGCAGCATCAAAAATTAATGGATGCATTTCTATTATGCATAAAATGTACTACGCTGCCAAGGTAATTAATTTGTGTATATAAGCTATGTTTATGTATGTAGGCAACTTATCATATTTGCTCAAGAATCCAGCACGCTAAATTTTGAGCCTGTTCATTACAAAACTGTTGCTGAATGTTTAAGAAATGTTTACATGTTAGTTTTAAGTTATTTGTTCTTCAGCATTTATACATGAGTTATTCTGATAAGGACTCTTATCGTTAAGGTGGGGCTAGTTTCCCCAGGGGGATATGTGTGTAGAGCAGGAAGAACTGAGAGTCAGTCAAGGGGGTCTGATAGCTAGGAGAGTAAGATGTGAGCTGAGTAGCAAGCGGTTAGAGAAAAACTTTGCTTATGTACGGCGTGGCTGTGGCCAACAACAGCTCCATTTGCATGATTAAAGAACCATTTGCATGATTAAATGGTGTTCATGATTCTATTTAGAACATTTGTCTTTACTAAACAACCCCTGGAAAAAAACATCTTTTTTAAGAGCATACTTAAATTACTAAAATTGAGAATGTAAGAAAGCCAAATAACCAGATGATAGAGCGGGGCGTTTAGATTAGCAGACAGATTAATCAGTTACTAAAATGTTATTAAAATGGCCTAATCAGTTGACAAAGCCTTATTCACATGAACAAACACAACAAATGGAGCAAAGGTACCAAATGAAGGTGTGCACAGACTTCATGTGCTTACCACTCCAGGCCGAAGATGCCATAAAGCACTGTGTCCTGAGTCCTGAGACCCTCCAGCACGAACACACTGCGCAACACGTTAAAGTGGAACTCATAATCAGGCAGAGAGCACACCAGCCGGGCCTTCAGGAAGGACGTCCACTTCTTCTGTAGGGTCAGAAGACCTCCTCTGTCACTCTGCAGGATGAGAGCACAGACAGAACAGGAGTCCTCATTACTATAACAAGGAGAGGGATTTCACACAGTCATGCTGAACCAAAGCATCAAGAAAATAAATGAAAAAAGTGGCAAGAATTAATAAGTTGCACGCCATAAAGTACTAGACCATTCATCATTAATACTAAATTTTTAAAAATTAAAACATTTTCGGGACCAAAATGATCGATATTTCACGCTAACAATCTATACTCATGTACACTACTTTGTTTTCAATATGCTATCTCCTTATTTTGCAGTAATTTGCAGGCCTGTTGAGACTTGTGGTGTTGGTAATGAGGTTTTCAAGCCTCAAGTTCATAAGATACACATGAGAATACACTTACACAACAAGATAGCACATACAATGGTCAATAAAAGCTCAATCCTGCCATTCAAGGCTAGAAAAATCAGCAGTAAATTCTAGTAAGGAAAACTGAGGCTGTCAAATGTGCAGCACACATAAGTTTGAGTTTTCCTTTTTTTTTTTACATGGATCACTTACTCGCTCTTGGCAGTGGTACTTTATTCCGCTGTCAGTGTGATGGTGGGAAATGGGAGCAGGCTGGATTGGATTGGGAGTTTTTTTTTTCTCAAGTGAAGAAATTGTACATCCCGTCAGGTGGATCGAGCAAATTTAATTTACACGCTGCCTCCCAGAGGAGAATAATTCTTATTGGACCCTACACCAAATGCCTCTGCATGCATTTTTCTCCAATTTGGAGCCTCCCCAGGGCCAGTGTGTTGTAACAGGCCCAGTGCAGTGGGCTGCAGTGAAATGCACCACAAAAACAGCCAAACATCCTCTACTGTAAGCTAGTGAAAAGAAAACTTCTGAACTTCTGAATGTCTTCCAAAATACATACATACATACATACATCATCTAAACCGCTTATCCTTCTGGGTTGCGGTGGGGTGCTGGAGCCTATTCTTCCAAAATAAATATATTTAATTTATATATTAAATAATTTATATAATATCTTATATATGAAAGTTTCTTTGAGGGTTATAAGAAAAGCTAATGGTTATACATTGAACTATGACAGCTCAGAGAATCATCTGAATGCTTAAAGGGGAATTCCACTGAATTTCCAAAACTGCTGAATAATTAAATTGTTGAAATATAAAAATAAAGTAATTCAGAGCAGTAAAACTTACTCAGACTCAGATTGCTTTGCAATGGTAGTTCTTTACAATAGGAACCAGGGGTCCCGACGTCTACAACACAAATATATCAATTTTATGTATTATCTAAAACGGCCAGTGAGCATACACACGTCTTTTACACACACTAGTTTTTCTACTACTGTAGGTAATGATAAAATAGTGATAAATCAGGATTTTTTTTTTCCTTTGGGTATTATTTTGCTTTATGACACCCTACATGTAGCTCTCCACCCTGCATGTGTTTTAAAAATATGGTTTAGGCCAAAGCCTTATCTCAAAACTATGATAAAACTATGTCTCAGACATCAGGCAGCATATTCATAACCATTTCCTGTAATAACTTTCTGCGATAAACGCTTTTGGACATCTGGCTCCTATCACCACCACTGTGAACAGACTGATTTACAGATTCTGATTTTGTGAGTTTCCCTAGAATGAGCACATCAAACCACTCTGAATCACTTTGTTTACATTAGGAGTGGGGAGGTGAGGGCCAGAGTCCAGCACAGCTTGTTTCAACACACCTCCTAAACCTGGTAATTAGTTACCATGTTAAATCAGGTGTGTTTGAGCAGGAAAGGAATCACAATGTGCTTGTATCCATCCCACCAGGACTGGGAGTCTCCACCCTTGGTTTGTATCTTAATGATTTGATTATGTAGAAATTTGAAAAATCAGTGGAACTCCCCTTTAACTGGTTCTTTGTCATGGCCTTCTGCATGATGCATATGGATCTTTAAAGATGGTTGTATTAATCTATAGTTCAAAAAATGATTCTGTACAGCACAAAAAGGGTTCCACTATTGTCAGAAGACACTGAACATTTTCTTGGTATTATGTAGAATGCTTTTTGCTAAGAATGTAGCAAAAATGAATGTAGAAAATATTTAAATATATGTATGTATATGAATATTTGCAAAAATGTCTGCAATTATATGATCTTATATGATTAAAAATGCAGTTATATGATCCTTGTACTGCAACCAGTTGAAGTAAAATAAAAATGTAAAATAAACATAAAAAATTAAAGCAGTAACAATCCTTGGGCAAAATAATGCATAGAGACTCTGTTCAGGAGTGAATAAACTAAACAGTAAGGAACAAATAAAAAGACTACAACATCAAAAGTACAGTACATTCTAATGACTTGTTTTTTTTATTTTCCAGGGGTATCCAGGGGATCTATATGAGGATCTCTGTAAAGAGATTAATTGTAGGGTGTAGGGAGCCTCTGTGATTCTGTGTTTGCAGTGTATTTTGCTGCTAGCATGCAGATAATGAAGGATAATCTCCTCATTAAAGTGACCCCGCTGTGTGGACTGGCACAGAGAGCCCACAAGTCCGCCCACAGTCCGCTCAGCACAGTACTGTAAACTGCAAGCTCGCTGCAAACAAGCGTCCGTTACATTTCCACGCCAACAAATAAACAAGCTCACACAAACCTTACAAATTTGTAAATAAACAAGCTCACACATACCTAATTCAAGGCACAAATGCCAACCTAACATTGTGATAATCCTGTAATTCATGCAATTCACAAATTAATCTTACATTCCATTTTTGGTATGTATCTTGATTTTGGTCCTTATTCCTTGAGGTCCAGTTATTATTTTTCAAACAGCCAGAAGACACAAATTTGTCCACAGGGAACACTAGAAACCTCTCATCTCTGGCGTGATACGGGTTTAAAACAAAGCAAAGGCTCAGAAGAAAAGGAGATCAGAGTTTAAAATCAGCCTCATGCTAATGGTGACACTGCAAAGTGAAATACTCAGGGTATTCAGGCATTTTACAGATCAGGAGCTATGTTAGAGATGCCAATGACTGCACAGCTATAAGTCAAAATAAAAAACCTGATGTGTGTTGTCTTCTGTTTCATAATGATGTTTCAGTGCCTTTAAAATGAATAGATTGATCACCATGAGCTCTCTTAACCAACATCCCATGATCAGTATGTAGGACACAGTATAGAGCACTGCTTAACAACCTTGCAGAATGAAATTAAAGTTAAGTCTGCTACTGTTGGAAGAGTCAATTTTAGGTCTATGGGAAATATAGTTTAGTGTTGGTTGATGATCACTGTCACTGCAGCATTAAAGAAGCAACCAGCTGCATCCTGACCTTGAAGACTATGCCAAATTCCTAATGGAAGCCATGGCAGAGCATCCTGCCCAAGTAAACAGATGGAGTCTACACTCTAATAGGCTTTGACCGGGTGTAGGGTGTACTATACAGCACCTGACTGAACGCTGGTGATCACTGAGAGAGACAATGAATAAATTGTTTAATAAATAAATAAATAAATAAATAGAGTGAAAGTAGGGAGCTTGTAGTCATCAGAGACTGGTGCTTTGATCGGAGTGTAAAGGTAGACCATGAGAGTGGAAGGGAAGACAGAGTGGAGTGTCTGGGGAACAGAGGTGCCTGTGAGAGAGATGCCTGGCAACAGTGCTGCTGTGAAAACCCTATTAGGGACCCTGTAGAGATTCACACTTCAAATGAAGAGCATTCTGAGGACAAAGTCCTCTCCGAGCTGAGACACTCAAGCACATGCAGTCACACACATACACATCTGCCATTCCATTCCACACAGTGGCATTTGTGTGTATGTGTTTATTTTCATATATTTTCAAGCACTGTCTAACATGTCCACAGGTGTCCAGTTGGGTTGAGATCTGGTGACTGTGAACTGTAACTCTACTATAATATCCAGTAAGGATTTTCTGTGGTATCTAGGTAGATAAAGTGAGCTCTCCCGTTTGTGAAGACTTCATGAGCTAAACTGAAGGCCTAATGTGTCAGATTAACCAACATAAATGGGATGTGACAGCGGAATCCACTAATTATGTTTTGATCTACAATGGGATGGACCAAAACCTAGAAGAAAAAACATCTCTCTAGGCTTTCTGGAAGTCCTAGACATGTTGCTTATCGTGGCTATGAGTGGTAGCCCGACCAGTATGGCAGCAGGTCCATGCCAGCTTTCTTTACTGAAAGAGTCACTGTAAAACTGCTTCATACAAGACAAAATACTCATTAATATGTCTTGTACAAGCTTCAAATCCATCCGTATTTAATCTAGAATGACCAAAAATGTTCATGTGAGTTGCCATTAGCACCATCTTACAGGTGTTTTTTCTCATTTTTGCCATTTATGGCCTGAACTGAAGGCCTAACTCTAATTGTAATGGTTCACAACTAATATTATCCCTCTCTATGTAGCTGTAGATGGACTGTTGTTGCTGGCTTAGTCTCATGTTCTGCACTGATATTCTCAGTCACCTGAGCAACAGCTGCTGTTCTACTAATGCACGAGCATTATTGTTATTGAATGTATGCTTTCGACCACAATTTTCAACCTTATTTACTGATGTCTTTCCAATAGATTTATATGCAGATGTCACTTTAGTCACTGTTTCTAAACACAAGCCAGTTGCGACTGAACACCTGCCATCAGTGCCCCAATGATGAATCCTCTTTCAAAGTCACTTTGATCTTTTCCTCATGCCATCCTGATCCAAAATTGAGGTCAGCGGGATCTGCTTAGCATTTTTCCACATCCCACAGAGCACAATGTTAACTGCTTAACTGTATAATTCACTCCAACTATCTGGAAGCATCTCCTATGTTTCTCCACTCATCATTCAGGGCTTTCCTTTAAATTGTCACCCGTCTGTATGTATGACCCCATGTCCTCACAAAGTCTAAAGATCAGTGTGTGTATGTGTGTGTGGACACAATTTCACAGCCTCAAGTGCAAATGGATGTATTTCACACAGCAAAGTGAAAATGGATATGAACATTTGACCTGAATCCTGGTGACTGGGTACTATTTGAGCAGATACAACATGGAGGGCATGTGTAGGATTACAACACCAAATCATTATGTTTCCAATTATGTGAAGGCATGCTCAGAGAGAAAATGGTTGCTGACCCCTACTTCATCAGCGCTTGAGCAAATGAACTGCTATAGCTTCCACACATTTGTGATGGGATATGAAGCAGCATTGTAGGTTAAGAACGTGTGCTGAGAATGAGGGTTTAGTTTCATACCTTACACACACGGCCCACCCGCGCCACCCTGCTGTGGCTGAAGTACGGACTGTGTTCCTGACTCTTTTCCGTGAAAAAGAAATAGATCTTATCGTCGTCTCCCACAGAGCTGTTCACACTCTCTCTCACCAGCGCAGAGCCCACAAAATCAGCCTCTACAGGGGAGCACACAACACGTTAATACAGGGTGCGTTCAGTGTGGAGAAAATTACCTTTATCCCTGCTGAACCACTGCAGAAACCAATGATAAAATACAGCACTGCAAATTGAGCTAAAGCATTACATGACACGACTTCATTTCTTACAGTGTTGTAGGTAAGCATGTGATGTAAACAGTAAATCATGAAGTGGGCATGGAAGGCTGTTAAACAGGAGAGCAGTGATACAGCAGATGTCTATAAATACACTGATGGTAGCTGTAGAGCAGATATATTTTCCATATGCTGTGATGCACTGACCATAAAGCCAGCGTGTGGGGGCCTCCTCTGTCCTCAGTGTGGGGTTCGGCGAGTTCCGGCGAATGTCTGGAGAGCTCCAGAACTCGTACTGAGACGCTGTGTAAATTTGCCCATCTGAAAAGAGGAACAGGTCCAATATTGTAGGAAGAGCTTAATAATTATGCAATGATACATGAAAGGGAGTGTTATAGTGTAAGATATGGGCACTGATGTGCTCCAGTCGTAGGCACTAGGCCGAACTGTATAATTATTGCAATTATACCATAGTATAATTATGGCAATTATATCACAGTTTAATTATTGAGATTTAGGGGAGGCAAGGCAAATTTATTTATACAGCATCTTTCATACACTGCGGTCACTCAAAGTGCTTTATTTATTTATTAATAACCTTTGGACAATGAGGATGTAAAAATTGATTAACAAGAAAGTTTATTCACATTTTGCAAAGCAATATAGTTGCATTAAACTTCATTGCTTGGTTACAGGTGAATTAGGTGTAATACTTAATGAGGATGCAAAAGTGTGGTTGGAAGATATTAGCAGTTTGAAGTAATATGTCAACACTGTTAAAGTTTCATAACATTCCATTCACTCTCCAGTCCACACAGTCCACATATGGATACTTTACTGCAAAAGCAGCCCATTTTGAATTCATTATTTCTGTGATGCCACGAGAACCAACTCACTTACATCCATCCACCTATTCAGCCTACAGATGTTTAACCTCTGTTTGCATTGAAGTTCTAAGGGGTGTTTCAGCTCCGAATGCTTTTTAAATGAGGCACAATACTGGACAGCCAATCAAAACAGAGCTAACTTATCTTACATTAGTCTTGAAGATACTGTAAAAAAAAAACAGCATGTTAAATTCTAAGAGATAAAGAGAGGCTGGAAAATACTCATACTTATGCCTGTTTTTGGTAGGTAAACCAAACAAATGTAATAAGTGGGTAAAAAATACAAAAAAAATGTTGGATATTGGGCCTTTAAGAAAAACAGCCTATCTATTTGAGTATTTGTCTATCATAAGCCCCACCCCGTCACAGTCCACTGTATGCTGGTAGAACCCATCCAGATGCCTAGTTTTGGTCACGGACAGTGATTTCCACAAAGGACAGTAAATGAGAGATGTCCAGAAGAGGCAAAGGGGTGTTGTAAATTTCAATACACTGTTTCGAAGTGGATTATTCTGTGGAATTTGGCTACAGTGAAAAAGACCTTACCAATAAGCAGGCCGGTGTAGCCTTTAGCAGGGTCATAAGGGCACCTCTCCCGACCTTCCTCAAACACAGAGGAAATCCTAAACTCTTTATCATCCTTAAAAACACAGGAGAATAAACACATTAAACAAACTGAAAAAAGGTTTAGCTTATCCAGTAAGGAGGAAGTGACAGCTTAAAAAGAGAACAAAATTATGATACGTCAGATCTGGAATCCTACTGAGTTTGCAATTACTTACAATATATGCACACAGTGGGCTGAATGCATGAGTCCCACAAGTATATAAGTGGGTGCTGTTGAATCTCTGCAGGAAGCGGATATGGTTAAAACACTCTGTCTGTAAAAAGGAATAAAAGTGTGTCAGTAAAGGGGAGAGAAATGTGGAAAGGTCTAAGCAAAAGAGTAAAGATGAAGATCTTGACCTTGTTATCTTTCCCTTTGTTAAGGCAGAGCTGCTTCTGATCTTCTGGTGCCTCCCAGTCAATCTGAAGAAGTAAAATATTCTTTAATTGTTAAATCTCATTGAGGCACTTCCTGAGCAACGTTTCTCCTTCCTCTACTTTGATATATTAAGTTTGTAAACTTAATTTTCTGTTCTGACATCAGAAATTCCATCTGTTTTTTCTCCGTAAAACTACAGACAGTCTTCTGTGAGTCATACAGGTTATTACAATACAAAGACTCATGAAGGAAGCTGTAGTGAGGGTGTGCTGTGCAGGGCAGTTGGGTTGTACTCACCGTCTGACTGGAGTTGGAGATATTATCGGCCTGCAGGGCATACAGAGCCCCTCTGGCTCCAACATACAGCACTCCAGCCTCCTCCTCCAGCAATAGCGTGCTGTAGTTCAGTGCAGTGCCACTGAAGCGCCTACACCCCCACAGCCCTGATACACACAGATACAAACACATGTCAGTGTCAGGAATCAAAAGAGTCTTATGTCCAAGAAGTGAGAAAAAATACCTGACATCTGAGCAGATTTTCACATGTCAGAAATGTGATGCAAATACAAATAATTAGATTTAAATCAAACTTATTTTTTTAAAAAAGATTTCTACTTATTTTTGCTCATTTGGGTATAAATGTACTACTCATTTTGTCAGTTTTTGCTTTCATGTTTTTATATTTGCTGATTTTGCTGCTGATGATATTTAGCTTCTGGAATCGCTCTTTTGCTTCTGACTTCAGGCACTTCTTAAAAGGGGGCGGGTCTTAGAAGAGGGCGTTGAACTGTACTTTCTATTCAACTGATTTGGAGTCACAGGTCTTCTGAACATGTAGCCACTCAGCATGAACTGCCCCAGTACTGAGTGTACTGAGTGCTGCATTGTACTGGCATATCTGACGTTATGAGCAATGTTTGTCATTTTCTTTTAAACTATTATTGTGACACTTGTTTATTGGTCCTGTGTCGACCTGGATAAAAAGATATAACTGTTATTTTGGGCACTGTTGAACATAAACTTAGTTGTTTATGAATGATCAAAGTTGTACCACATTTCAAGTTTGCAACTGCTAGCGCTCACTAGCCCAGCTGTGTCCTGTAAGGCTAACTAGGAGCGCCATACTGGTAATGGAACAAAACTTCTTAATATCTGACGTTGGTTCACTGCATTAATGTAACAACAGTGATTTGGAGCAGCAGCATTCTGTAAACGGGCATGCTAAGATACAAAGCCTGTTTCAGTGACTGACACGCAGGCACTCTGTGGGTAGAAACAAGAAGAGACTGAAATAAATGCCTTTACAACACTACAATGGAACGGCCAATCATGACATGTTAACTTCATTCCCTTTGTAGTGATTAAACATTACCGCCTATCTGCTATCTCACGGCAGCAGAAGCTGGCAGTAATAAGCAGTATTTTTCACTCTACCATGTTTATGCCAGTCCTGTCTTAACGTTATTTCCCTCGACCCACAGCATCAGAAGCAAAATAGCAATTACAGAAGAGAAAAATGTATCAGCAAACAGAAAGAGATGAAAGCAAAAACTGGCAAAAGGACTAATAAATTTATATCAGAATCATTGAAAATGAGAAGAAATCTTTTTGAAAAATTAAGTTTGATTTACCGCTCATTATTTGTATTTGCAACATATTTTGGACTTTTTTATTCCTAACATTTTGCTCGTGGATGTTATAATTCTATTTGAAACTTTTGGCACAAAATGAACGCCATAGGACATGGACATAAATACCATACTCAAAATCTTCTGGGCCAAAGGTGGTTTAAATATCTTGAAGTCTGAGCATCTGATGAGTGCTGACATCACAACAAGGTGATGGATTGTGTGGGTTTTGGCACTATTACCAAGCAATGTAGCACTGTCACAGATATGATCAAAAATACTTATGGGTGATATTCTTTACTTTAAAATAAACTTTCTTAGTCTTTAAAGGGCCCATATCATGGAAAAAATCCACAATTGTTGAAATAAAACAGTTTAATGTAACATGTAAACAGTGTCAACATGTACTGTTCACTCTGTAGTCCACACACTCCATGTATGGAAACTAAGCTAGTCTAAAATAGTCTATTTTGAATTCACTGTGTTTATGATGTCACAAAAATTAACACATTTACATACCCGCCTATTCAGCATACATGGGCTTAGCCCCACACAGTCATTCTGAAGACAGCCTGTTTAATTCTAAGTGATAAAGAGACGTTGGAAAATGGTCATGTAAAAAAGGAATTATGATATTTTTGTGCATACAATCATTTAAACATTTGAAGTTGACATCAGAGGGAAAAAATAAAAGATGGGCTCTTTAATAAGCTACGTCATTGCTGACTGTCAAAGAAGGTGTGCTCATTTCTATTAAAATATTTTGGAAATCTGACAGGCAGTATATATAGCACAATATGACATGGCACAGACTTTTATTTGAGTAGTGTTTGCTAAACACCAGGGACAATTAAGAGTGCTTACGTAAGGAGCCTTTTAAACGATTCCATGTGAAACTAAATAGAGTATCAGTTCCTCGAGCGTAGGAGCGGCTCTTTCAACACAAGGTGTGTACAACACAATTACACCGACTTAGCCCTGCTTCCTTGTTTGTAGAGGTACATTCCACTGGTGATTGTCTGCTTATGTTGCTGTGTTTTTCAGTAGAAACTGAAAAAAGAAGAGCCACATAGACAACCAGAGCCACATATTCTACACATCTAGCCTCTCCTGCGTGGGCGTCTCTTGCAGGAGCAGCCTTAGGTGCAGTAAGGGACAGACTGTGCACTGCATTTAGAGTTGGCAATGCATTAACTGCATTCAATCAACAGGAGCGAGAGAGATGTCAAACAAAGCTGAAAAGTGACAGAGGGCAGTCAGTGTCAGGAGGGAGGGAGGGAGGAAGGGAGGGAGAGAGCGCAAATAAGGTGCTCTATAACTCCCTGCTGACACATCTCTGTCTTTTATTCATGCATCAGTCGACACAAATACAAAAAACAGTGTTTCTTTAAAGCTCCCATATTCAATTTTCTTGTATTTTTTCCCTCTGATAGCCAATTATAATGCTTATGTGGTTTTATGTACTAAAAACAGTTGTAATAGATTCATACATTACCATTTTCTAGCCTCTTTATCCCTTATGATTAAACAAGCTGTTTTGTTACAGTGTCTTTTAGATATATTATCACTGTCAGAACAAAACCTTGCATTTTCAAAATGGCATCTTCACAGGAAAAGGAAAAAAAACTTTGTTAACTTGTAATGGAAGTTAATGAAACAATTTTTGAAAGGTTTGAAAGATACAAGGTTTATGTGAGACAGTGACACTATATAAATGAACTCTGTTCTGATTTGCTGCCCTAGTTTGTCCTTCATAAAGGAGTCGGGCTGAAATGTTTAGAACAAACTGTTAGGTTCACACCAAAATCCTCAGGAACATTGTAAAAATGAAACTTTAGACTGAATCGCTGTCTGAATAGACTTTAGGCTGAATCGGATGTCTGAATTGCTCAGAAGGTTGCATGTTATATTATATGATATTTTTACTTCCTGACAGCCATGAACAGCACAACGTTCCATTGTGGTCCACTCCAATAACTCTGCTACAGACTGCATAAACTTATGTAAGTATGTTCAAGGTTGTGGCATCATGTTTGGGATGTGACATCTTGGTTGTGTGACATCAAGACTATGAATTCAAAAGAGTGTTTTCACAGCTAAGTTGCCATATGACAACATGGAACTGCATATTTTAAAACTGCAACAGTGTTTACATAGTACATCAAACTTTTCTTTCAGATGATTCTCTCTTAATCTTGTAACTCATTCAAGTTTCACTTTTCCTCTTACTCAAACCTCTACCTCTAGGGAGATGTGTATATGTCTTTTAGCCAACCTTATCTACGAAAGACTGGGGAAACTCTTTAACCCACTGTAAAATGAGTTTACAGAGCAACTCCTACGAGTTAACAGCTCTTCACACATAGTTGGCCTGTGAGTCTCCCTTAATGCATGACACACACATACATACAAACACATGCTCCCACACAAATGCACAAACACACACATACATACACACACACGTACATACACAGATAAAGCAGTTTAAGAAGTGAGCAAACCCGCCCCAAAAATGTGACTCAGCAGCGCAATCTCCAACATGTCCTAGAGAATACAAAGTTAACCTCTATCTAAATTAGTCATTATCATTGAGTCATCAAATCATTTTAATGCCCAAGCAGTTAGGAGGCTGTGAGATAAAAACTTGCCTTAATAAATTTTCCTGAAGTGGTGCCTAATTCCTAACACTCTGTGTTAGCAAGGAATTGGTGACATACTCCATATCTCCCGTTTCTATTCCCCAGATTCATTTCCCTCAGTAACCTACAGACACTGCTTCTGCCCATTAGCTTCAGGTAGGCCAGGGTCAGGGGGAACGTAGCCATGATTAACAGCATGTTAAGAGGCTGAACTGTGCCCTGGACACGTGCCTATAATGAGATGACTCACACGTTTACCAAGTTCTCTAGACTACACTAATACTGCTGTGACCTCCATCCTGCAAGGGAAGGTGGAAGAAAAGCAGTATTGGTCTGCTGTGTAGTACAGAGCAATAGAGTACAGACAGAGACATTATCGGAGGAGCAAACTTGTTGAAATGAGAATAGGTTAACTGATAATGCTCAACATGGCGGGTGCATTATGAGAAATCCCGCCGTTCAATAAAAAGAGCAAATTGCCTGGATGATAACCCCCTGTTGTGCGTACTAACTAAATTATACATTTATATATATATATATACGCACATATACATATACACACAATGTGTCCCACAAGAGTTCAACTGGGTGGAGATCTGGTGACTGTTAAGGCCATAGAATATGATTTACATCATTTAACTCATTAAACCATTCAGTGACTCCTCATAACCTGTGGATGTGGGCTCTGTCATCCTGGAAGAGACCACTCTTGTAAGGATTGAAGTGTTCCATCACAGGAAAAAGGTGATCAGTCTAAATAACCTTTCCCTCTAAGGGGACAAGTAGACCTAAACCATTTCAGTAAAATGCCTCCCACACTATAACAGAGCCACCGGACACCGTCTGTGGGGGTCAAATATTCAGGCTTGTACTGTTGGACTGGTATACATCACACCTGCACTCATCCTTTATTCCACATCTCTGTGCATTATCAATGGTTTTTGCACCACTGAAGTCTCATGCAGTCGTCACTGTGATGACTCACAGACTTATTATGTTTTTACACTCATTTATTCAGGTTTTTCCTTTAATTTGTCAGTCACCTGTATATATAACAGACTACGGCTTTTATTGTTGTACCACACAGACACGTCACACGCAGGCCGCCCAGAGCCAGATCCAGCACAGCCATTACATAAGCAGTGGTTAAATATGATAAACCAGACACAAACCAAG